AGACAGAGAGAGAAAGAGAGATAGGAAGAGAGAGGGGGAGAGAAAGAGAGAGAGAGAGAGAATGAAAGAGAGAGAGTGGGGAGAAGGAGAGTGGTGAAAAGAAAGGAACACGATTGGAACCGTATGGTGCACATGTTCTTTACATTATTGTAAAACACAATGAGACGTATTCTGTCATACCTACTGACATACCTTCTTCTGTCTTATCTACCTACTCACCCACCTTCTATATGAAAATATCTACGGCCCACTTTACCTGCGTCTGCACAACTGCTTCCCCTAAAGCCATGGTTGAGTTATTTCTGTCATGGGCATTTGGAAGAGTGGAAAGGGGGGAAAGAATGCATAGATTTAAAAAAGATTGTTTTAAATGTCTAGAGGAGGAAAAGAGAAATACTGTAGCTACCTCACTGACCTAAACAACTATGTTCATAAGATGCCTCTTGAGTCCTCCCAATTCCATTGACTAGAGCTCTTTCATTACGAGCCACTTTCGCTGAAGAGTGTTATGCACTCCAACAATCTTCATCTGGAAACTCTAGAGACAGTTATAGTTCTCCACATATTTACACCCTCATTAAAGGCTAGAGCGGCTACTTACTGTCTTTCGTAATTTCTCATTTCAGGTTTCTTACCCACCTGGACACACCAAGCCCCAAGTGGTCAGCCATGTGCAAAATAAGTTAAAGAAAACCTCCAAGGAAACGGGATTAAAAATAAAAGCTGTAACCCAGCACTACCCTGTCTGTGATAGTTGATTAGGCGGCAGAGAGCAGCCAGGTTCCTGGAGCAATTTCGTCGCTTAAATCGCTTCAAGGCTTTTTCTGTTTCTTATTTGCCCAGCCTATAAGTTTTGATCGTTCTCGCTACAGAACGGTAGAGAGCTAGAAGTCGGCTTCTGCGCCGTGTCCAAATATTGGATTTTAACTACTATCCACTTGCTGGGGTGCCTCATTGTACCGTGCCCATAAAGTAATTGAAGAATCTGTTAATTAATTTAGTGAGGATAGTCGTCAAAACTTGCAGTGGACACATAAACGTCGGAGTTTTGTTACATCACTGTAACAAAAGCTTTGGAAATCCATAAATCAGTGTCAATGACTGCTAAAAGTGATTAAGCATTTGCATACACGTTAAAGTTAAAGGTGATTACGTTGTCCGCTGTGCCAGACTTGATAAATCAGAGAAGAGCTGAGGGAAGCGCTCCCCTTCCCACTGCTGCTGCGCCTACCTGGCCGTAATTTCATTACGTACTTAGCAACCGTCCCTCTTGGGCTCAACGCAATACGTTGCTGCTACGCTCGTTACAACCAGCCTGGGCCCTATCGAGTTCCTGGTTACCATCTCGCCATCAGTTCGGCGTCTGCGACGTCCCCTGGGGGAGGCCTTGCAGTCTCGGGCCCTGAGAGTCTGAGAGTTAATCTATGCAGGTTGTTTACCGTCGGTGCAGACGTTAATGACCCTCACTGCTCAAAACGACTAACTGCTCTCATCGGAATACTTCGTTTCCTCATTACGCCTGTAATTACCCCCCCCCCTTCTAAAACCATTACCACCCCCTCCTTCTATAGCGGCGTTCAGAGCGAAGTGCAGACTGCGCCGTGCCATAAATACAAGAATAGGGTTATCATCCCTGAGCTTCGCGTGAATACAACTAACAAGATATATTGTACAAAGTTTTCGGCATATATATTTCTTATAAAACTGCTGGGCATCTCATTTTGGAATAAGCAGAAAGATTCACAAGCTGATCGCCAGAAGCCACATCTAGCTCAGTGAAAGTTTCACTAATAAAATTTAGAATCTGATTCAAACAACGTTACACCGTTGCTGTCTTCAATAATATTACTGCGTGTACTTTACTTCCATTCCCTAAAAGGCAGTGAAAATTCTTGGACGAGAAGACCTTTAACCAGAAGCATATTACTCATCGTACAGAGGCTATAGACTATACGTTGACTCCGTAAACTCTCGTCATCCCGAGAATACTCGGTATCTGAAAGCAGCCAATATGGCGAACATATCTGAGGGTATCACGTTCAACTACACCCACGATCATGTGGGTAACTTCGTCACCGCGGATATGCCAGTGGATTTCTCCAAAATGGAGTACCCTTTGCCCATCAAGTACAAGCCTGTGTGGGAGATTGTGGTGAAAACGCTCTTCTACGTCCCAGTCATCGTCTTTGCCATCATCGGAAACATCATCACCATCGTGGTCGTCGCCAAGAACAAGAGGATGCAAGTGAGTATTCGCTCCCTTCCCCAAAACTCCAAAACCTCACCCCC